ATTTGTCAAATTTTATATGATAAGTTCTTTATAATATGAATGCGACCACTAAAAAGCGAGGACCTTCACTACTCGCAGGCCCTGTTTGGAATGGCAATTTCCAGAAAATGAAATTATTCGAAAATCCAATCTTGAATTCCTCATGCTTTTATATCATTTGAAAATTTTTATATATTATTAAATTAATAAATATATTTAATATCATAAATTTTACATAAATTAAAAAAATAATTATTTTAATGACATATTAAATTATATAAAATTAAAAAAATTATGCAAAAATTATTTTCATATCTAAAGAAAAGAAAAGAATCTGATTATGAAAATTCTAAAAGTCATTGACAAACCATGAAGAATATAAACCAGCGGATCAAAAAAACTGCGTTTTTTTTATAATACACACATTTCAAAGGGTGCACACGAAAGTAATACTAAGCCATTATATAATTCAACAGCGTTAAAACTGAGTGGTGGAAATAAGATACGACTAATGTGTGCACTCGAATTCCAGGGATTTGGTAAGATTTTCCTGAGGCTATCGTTTGAGGTAAAGCCGTAAAGGCCCCCACGATGTTGGCCCTTGGGATTTTTCGTTTTTAATAGATTATAATTATTATTTACATATTAATATGTATTGGGATTGACCCAATAAAACTTAAGATAAATAGCTATGACTTCTGGGCCCGAAGATCACTGACAAGTTACGTTGGTCACGGGTTAGCCTTGATCGTCAAGGAAGGTTGTAATTGTCTAAACTGGCCGAAAATAAAGAAGTCAGTCTGTTGGTGACGCTAAAGACTTTTCTTTAATTAAAATTGTGAGGGAAAAGTTTAAAATATGAAAAATGAGTGAGGTTGCATTTAGCAACTTATATTTGGATTTAAAATGTATATTTTAAATATATATTTTAAATATATGTAATTTAACTATATGTAATTTAAAATATATTATTTGGATCAATTATATTATTTTAATTGTGAAATTTAATTCCAACTAAACTTTTATCTTTTATTTCTCAGTCATAATAAATAAATTAACTCCAAAAAAAAATTTAGAGTAAAACTTTAACAAAATCACATAAACAAAACATCAAAACATCAAAACCCCAGTGAAGTAATTTTTCGAATAGGTCTTGTACAAAGTAAAAGAAAACTATACTTTTTCGGGTTTCATCACCTCAAAACCAAAAAATTTTCAAATATCAACTAACAGTTCAATTGAATAAATTTAACTAGAAATTTCATCAATAATTGCTCATAACTAGAAAGGATTAATAGAGTTAAGCACCTTGGTTGAAAACAACCTTCATTGTCCTTCCATTCTTTAACAAAATATGGAGCCCAACCAACTAACTGTATGAAGTTTGAAGTTAGAAAAGGATCATGCCTTTAAATACAAGCACTAGTAAAGTGCATCCTGATTAATTCTACGAAAAAAAGGAGCAAAGTGAAGGGAGGTGGCCAAGCAAATAGGTTGGTGGTGAAGGAGGTGCATTGACACTGTGAGTTCATAACCATTCCTTTGCCTAACCCCTCATACCCATACAAGAAGAAAAGAGAGCTGATAATTCAAACTTGATTAGCAAACTCATGAGTGTGCTCGTTATGAAATAGATTTGAGATTTACATTTAAGAATTACATCTATTATAAAATTAAAAGAAAGAGAAGATTTATGCCAAAGAAAGAGAAAGGGGACTTGATAAAAAATTACTAGTGGCTAATAGTGAAGTTGACCAAAGATCTCATTGAGGATCTTATTTAATTTGATGAAATGCTAGAATTGAGAATTGAAATTCGTAGGGTAGGCAAGATATTTGAAATAGATGCAATCTTCATTTCGAAATACATAGTTTCAAATACATATATTTTAAACAAATTCAAATGTACTCTTATTTAGTATAAACAAATAGTGTATATGAATTTGGAGTTACATATTCAAATACACTTCAATCAAACTCATGTTCCCAAACAGAGCATAAAAGATATTTAGTTAAACACATTTTTTTTATATTTGTTGATTTAGTTATTAAAATATAATATAAGTACAACTCAATTTAACTAGTTTCTATATCTATATATAATTGGATCTTTAAAATTGTATATTTTTAATTTTAGATTAAAATTAATAATTTTTTAATAAATATATTATATAGTGTATTTAACTAAAGTGTGTATCAATTAGTAAAATATGCATAGTTGTCATTGATCATGCAAGTAAGTACATCAATAGCAAGGTATCTATGTATGCATGAATGTATAAGTTTAGACATGTACTACTATTTGTACATTTTGAAAAAAAAAATCTTAAAAGGGTAAAAATGTTTAGTTAATTAAGTTTATGGGGTGACTTCAGCTGGTAGCGGAACACACTACCTACCGTCCCGTGCAGTGCGGAAGGACGTGCTTGAAGGAGCTGTTAGAGCATCGACGGTCCATGTAAAGTAGTGTTCACTTGGATGAAATATGCTTGACTGACCTGCGGTTCTCTCAGTCATTAACCCTGATTGGGTTCCATTTATGAATAGGTCACCCTCAGAGATATCGATTATGCAGCCAGTGCTAGCCTCATCCTCGTCGGCCGCCTGTAGAACATACGTAATAACATGTTATCAGCAATTTTGTAACTAAAGTATAAATACAAACAATTGGGACTTTGACTAGTACTCGTGAGAAATATAGATGATGGAAGAAAATATATGAATGGTTGGTTATAGCCTTAACCTCAGCAAATATGTCATCGTATTTCATCTTGATCAATTATGTCAATCCATCTCCTGCAACTAGTTTTAAGACTGAAACGTGATGAGTCTAGGGCTTTCAAGTTTTAACTCGCAATACAAAACAGCACACTCCATGTATTGAGTCCAATATCACCATGCCTCAGCATCCAAAGATCCCAAGAGTTCGTTACAGTTTTTACAAATGTGTCAACCCAAGCAATAATAATAGTACGATCCAAGATCATCTGTTTTTCTTGTCCATGTTAAAAAACTTTAACTCAGTTAAGTGGGTCTAGACTGGAGTGTAGGAGTGGCTTTCAATATTATGTCTATTTCCTGGAAGGCTTTTCTTACTATTATGATGTAATGGGATATCACCAGTCAACCTAGAGATTCTTGGCTTCTGGAAGGCACAGGAAACGGGGATGGAAGGGAATCAGCTATCGAAGAATATCCCCAGTATGCATTTGAAAAATATAACACCACCCGAAACCTTAAAGGCCATTTTCTTACCCTATTTAATGATAATAACAGCCACTATTGCTATATCCTAAAGAAATTAAGGGAAAGATTCTGATTATGAAAACTCTAAAATCATTGACTAATCATCAAGAATATAAACCAGCGGATCAAAAAAACTGTGTTTTTTATAATACTTGCATTTCAAAAAGTGCGCACGAAAGTAATACTAAGCCATTATATAATTCAACAGCGTTAAAACTGAGTGGTGGAAATAAGATACGACTAATGTTTGCACTCGAATTCCAGGGATTTGGCAAGATTTACCTGAGGCTATCGTTTGAAGTAAAGCCGTAAAGGCCGTCACCATGTCTGTCATTGGGATTTTGACCCAATGAAACTTGAGACTAATAGCTATGACTTGTGAGAAGATCAGTGAAGTAAGGCTGGTCACGGGTTGGCGTTAATAATCAACAAAGGTTGTAGTTGTCTAAACTGAACAAAAACAAAAAAGTCAATCCACACATGATGCTAGAGACATTTAATTCCACATATTTTGTTAAACTTGTTTAATTTAATTATTAAAATATAATATAAATGATTAAATTTAATTAATTTTTAAAATTTATATACATGATTATATTTTTAAATTTATATACTTTTAATTTTAGATTAAAAATTAATAATTTTTTAATAAATATATTATGTAATATATTAAACTAAAATGTATATCAATTAATATTTTTAAAATATCCGTAGCTGTCATTGATCATGCAAGTAAGTACATCAATAGTGAGGTATGTATGTAAGCATGCATATATATAAGTTTAGACATGTATGCTACTATTTGTACATGCTTAAAAAAAAGTCTTAACAGTGTAAAATTGTTTAGTTGTTTATGGGGTGACTTCAGCTGGTAGCGGAACACACTGCCATCCCGTGCAGTGCAGAAGAACGTGCTTCGAGGAGTCTGTTGGAGCTTCGACGGTCCATGTAGGGTAGTGTTCACTTGGATGAAACATGATTGACTGACCTGTGGTCCTCTGTGTCATTAACCCCGATTGGGTTCCATTTATGAATAGGTCACCTTCAGAGATTATGCAGCCAGTGCTAGCCTCATCCTTGTCAGCTGCCTGTAGAACATACGTAATAACATGTCATCAGCAATTTAGTAAACAAAGTATAAATACTAACACTTTGGCACTTTGACTAGTACTCATTACAAATCTAGATGATGGAAGAAAATATATGAATGATTGGTCATAGCCTTAACCTCAGCAAATATGTCATCACATTTTTATCTTGATCAATTATGTCAATCCATCTCCTGCAACTAGTTTTAAGTCTGAAACTTGATGAATTTAGGGCTTTCAAATTTTAACTCGTAATATAAAACAGCACACTACATGTATCGAGTCCAATATCACCATGCCTCAGCATCCAAAGATCCTAAGAGTTCCTTACAGCTCTGCAATAATAATGGTACGATCCAAGATCATCTGTTTTTCTTGTCCATGTTAAAAGACTTTCGCTCAATTAAGTGGGTCTAGGCTGGAGTGTAGGAGTGGCTTTTGTTATGCCTATTTTCTGGAAGGCTTTTCTTGCTATTATGATGTAATGGGATATCACCAGTCAACCTAGAAATTCATGGCTTCTGGGAGGCACAGGAAACGGGGATTGAAGGGAATCGGATATCAAAGAATATCCTCAATATGCATTTGAAAAATATACTACCACCCAAAACCTTAAAGGCCATTTTCTTACCCTATTTAATGCCTAAAGACGACCTCCAGTATGCTTATACAATTATCCTTTTTCATATTGATCTTGAGCTAAGTATTACCTAGAATATTACACCATGCCTAGTTTTTCAGATAAAGAGAACAATGGCATAATGGCCAGGAATTATTTTTATTTTGAACCTTTTTTGGTATAGGCAAAAGGTTTTCTTCTAGCTGACTATTTAGATCAACAAGTAAAAGCAGTCATATGTCAAGCAAGCTAAACAGTGACAATTTTTGACATAAAAATATCTTTATCATACGCACAAATGTGCATGGTAGGACTAGTCCATTATATTTCAAATTGTATATTATCAAATAAACTTGTAAAAGGAGAATTATTAAATCTTACCTTCTCTGTGAGATACTTGAATGCCACCTTCTTTTCACCCGCTTCATATATATTGCATTGAGAGTATATCTGATATCAAAATAACAAATAGGAAACATCTTTATAATTTATCTTTCAAAAAAAAAAAACTGATTACAGAGACCATGACACCTACATAAATAACAAGCAGGGAAAAACAAAAAGGAAAAACAAGGATTGTGAAATGGTAAGACTATCATCATTACCTGTGACTCCACACTGGCACAGACTGCATAAATTCCCCAGTTTCTGGTGTAATTGTTATACAAGTGCACTTTCCCATATCTTACACGAGGATGACGTTGTCGGGTTCCATCAAAGAAACAATGGTGAATGGTTACCCGAATACATCTATCACCAACATGAGAAGGATCTGCTCCAATAAGCATTGTCTTATCATGCTGTGAAAAATGACACCTGAAAACATCATATATATATTAAGAGTAAAATTTTAACTTCTCCAAATTAAGGCATCACCTTCGGACAAGGAATCAACCTTACCTAGAAATAGTAATATCTGTGCTTTCTCGGGTGATATCTATCAATCCATCATCATAATCACGGAGGCTGCAACGATCTATCCATATATGCTTTGATTTAGGTTTTATCTGAATGCCATCGACATCATCTCCTCTACCACCTTCAAACTCCAAATTACATACAATAACATGCTCACATTCCTTAAGCCTCAAACCTTTGCCTGTAAGTTTTACCCTTTGTCCACGGCCATCAATGGTCTTATAAGAAGATACATTTAGATAAGATGAGAGTTGAATCGTTCCTGAAACTTCAAAGACAATCCAAAGGGGTTCTTTTCTCCTACAACCATCACGTAATGATCCTGGCCCATCATCTGCAATCGGAAAATCCAATATATTTTAGATTCACCCCAAAAAATTTCCTACAGAGGATGAGATCTCAAAAGGCCAATGTGCAACAGAAAACATTGTCAATTAATCTCAGCAACACAGGACAGGACAGCGAAAAGAACATCAAGATCAGAACTTGTAGCCTAATAAGGACGCAGTCATGGTTAAATCAGAGATTCAGAAGCCAATTACGCCCCATTTTCAATTCAACTTAAATTGGCAGATAACCAATCTTGTCTCTACCCATGTATATACCCAAGAACCTATCTTTAAACTAACACAAGAAAAACCCAAATCTTGAAACCTGTAAAACTCAACTTACATCTCAATTCAACATCATGGACACTAAAAGAACAAATCTGAGCCCCAAGCATCATCATAAATCACAGAAAGCAAACTAAGCAATCAGTGAAATCATATTGCTTTATCACATTTGGCCATTACCTGCTAAAGAGGTGACGTGATAGAGGGGGCCATGGAGGCCGCCGATGGCAGAGCGACCGAAGCCCTCGGCTTGGCCGGCGAGGGCTCGAAGGCTGGAGTCAACGTGACCGTAAGGCAAGGAAGGGGCCATCTGGGGTGGATTTGAGGTGGGGGGTACAGGTACTGCTGGGCGAGCAGATGGGCCATAATTATAGGGCGGGACCGCGACGGGATAGGCATTGGGGGCGTTAGCGCTGTTGTTGGTTCTCCTGCGGCGGGGGTGTGCGTTCCCCATTTCATTAATGGTTGAGAGGACGTTACTGGATTAATATTGATTGTTGTTACAACCCGCAGAGAGGTTTTGCAGAGTAACGACTTTAGTTGCCGACAGAATTTGGTAAAGGCAGCAGCTTTCTCTGTTCTACTGTTCCGGCACTCCATGACAGTCGATTCTCTTAAAATAACTCTTATTTTTTAAAAATAATTTATATATTTATTTAAAAGATAAAACAAAATTTTTTATGATAAAATAATTAATTAAAATAAATAAATAATAAAATAAAAATATTTATTTATTTATTTGATTAAAAATAATAATTAATTTAAAACAAATTTAAAATTAAATAACTATAATTATTTTTAGACAAAAAAAAAAAGAAAAAAAGAAGAAGAAATAGTACTGGATTTGGAATGTTGGATTAGATTTTCAGTCTGAACTGCAAAAGTGCAGTCCATGTTGTAATTGTAAAAGTACTTATTAATGACAATAGCTTTTTTTGGGCAATTTAAAATGTATTATATTATATAATGTTAGATATATTAAATAAAAAAATATTAATATTAAGGAATTTTATTTTATTT